TTATTCAGGCCTAGTCATTAGCTAGGACTGCAAAATAGAAGTTTCCCTGTTGCCCTTCTGAATACCAATTAGCTATTTTCATGTCTAGCCATGTTAGTTTCTCTGGAGTAACTGTCTGGTTATTGTTGGAAGTAATACACTAGATTAGATGGACCTGTGGTCTCATCTACTGAAGCTGCTGTAATGTTCTTAGAAAACCCTTTACATCATTAGGTTAGACTTTTCCTTTCTACTTAAATGAGAATAACATAAAATATACATACGATTTTATCACACTTGGATACAATTACATGGAAACTTTTTTTTTTTTGCTTTTGCCATTTCTCACTGTATTTACTCTTGTCTCTGGAATCAGAGCTATGCAAAAAGTCTTTTAAGAAATGGGAGAGAGGAAGGAACAGAAAAGTTCAGCACCCCACGCTGCCACCGCTATTTCATGTTCCGTATTCCTTGTTTTACAAAATGATAACACAAGAGAGTGCATCAATTAATATGCACATCATCCTCCATCATGCCTGATTGGCTTCAAGTAAGTAGGGTTCTCCAGGAGTCCTTTGTGGTACAGCTTGAAGTTGCTTCCAAGATCCAAAGTTTTATTTAATTTGTTTGTTTATTAAATTTATATGCTGACCAACTCCCTGACCAACTCCCTCTTTAATGATGATGGACAGGTTTTCTTAGAGCAGGGGTCTTCAAACCTGGCCCTTTTATGACTTGTGGACTTCAACTCCCAGAATTCCTCAGCCAGGCATGCTGGCTGAGGAATTCTGGGAGTTGAAGTCCACAAGTCATAAAAGGGCCACGTTTGAAGACCCCTGTCTTAGAGGGTGCTTTGTTTGACTCGCTGGAGGCCCCCATTGTTTTTCTATCACTGGAGAGCTTAGTTAAAGGTTACAGTACTTTATGGCCTTACCCTAAGGACATCCAACACTAAGCTTATAATTGTGCTAGCAAATATAATGCAGAAGGGACAGAATGCCAGAACTACAATTCACTAAATGGGCCCATCTTTTTCAGCTGGTCTTCAATCATTCCCAGCAAGCTTGGTTGCTGTAAGCCAAGGCATTGTCATTCTTGGCGCTGAAACACTGGCTCTGTTCTTCCTTATCCTTCCCCCACCCCCACTGCCTACACACTTTAAAGGAAGGAGGAAACAAAGCACAGAAGGGCAGGAGGAGAGGATTGGACTCTGGTGCAAGAGATATTTAGAAATATGCCAGCCGCAGCAAGACCCCTAGCCCAACAATGACCATTTTCTTGAGGTGGGAGAAAAGTGGAATGCATTGCCTTGGAAGACACTGATAATATAGTAAAATGAACAATTATTAGAATAATGATTTGTCTGCATAACTGCAATAATGATGTGTCTGCATAATTGCTAGAACAATGATGCAATGCATAATCACTGGGAAAATTCACTGGGAAAGTTCTCTGTCAGTAATATGTGGCAACCAAATGCGCTCTGCACATGGATACTTTGTATGTAGCAAAACCTTCCATTCTATGCCTGTGAGAAATGCTCCTAATGTATCAGTGTGTATTTCAATGTGTAGCCCTTTGTTCCTGAAAGGAGGGGAGTATAAAAACTGAAGTCTAATCCCGCCCTCCTCGTTCAGAATTGCCTATCTCTAATATGCTCTGGACCTTGCGCAAATAAACTTCTCTGCTAACTCCTCTGGAATTCGTAAGAGTTCTTTCGTTTTCCACAAGACTGACATCATTAACAGGGTTTTCCTTCACACATGAGCAGCTTCATTCTCATTTTTTGCTCTATTTATAATGGGCATTATCTCTTGCTGAGGCTTTACTGCTTCCAAGTAAATTTTCCCTGCAGTAAAACAATGAAACTTTCTTTTCTTTTTTTATACTTTCTGTGCTTGATAGGTCTAAGAACATGCTTAGGCCTTCCCACAAGGACTCTTGGACTTTACCTCTAGTTTATTGCAATGATTTAGTGCTCTTTTGATATAGGATTAACCAACAATTTGTCAGTCAGTCAGGCTAAAAATATGCATGATATGGTGGGGAACTGATGTGTGTGTATGTGGTTGTGTTAACTGAGGAAATCAGCTTCCATCTACAGGTAGTCTCCAACTTATGACCACAATTGACCCCAACATTTCTGTTACTAAGCGAAACAGTTGTTAAGTGAGTTTTGCCCCATTTTACGACCTCTCTTGCCACAGTTGTTAAGTGAATCACTGCAGTTGTTAAGTTAGTAACACAGATGTTAAGTGAATCTGGCTTCCCCACTGACTTTGCTTTTCAGAAGGTTGCAAAAGGGGATCACATGACCCTGGGACACTTCAACTGACATAAACAAGGATCAGTTGCCAAGCATCTGAATTTTGATCACGTGACCATGGAGATGCTGTAATGGTCATAAGTGTGAAAAACGGTCCTAAGTCTCTTTTTTTCAGTGCCATTGTAACTTTGAACAGTCACTAAACTGTTGTCCAGGATCTGTATACAATTCTTTTATAGTTTATATATGACCAAAAAAGGGCATTATTTCCAAAGGCAGATTTCCTTCATCTTTGAAATATAATTAAAGGAAGCCAGAGTTCAGAGACAGGTGGAAACAGATCTAAATCCAGTCTTTACTGGATCTCTTGCAGCTGCATAATGGTATTCTGATTATGTGCTGCTCCAGCAATAAGGCTTGAGAAGAGGAGGAAAAACTGTGTGTGTTTTGCATTTATTAGTTCACTGGAATGTGACTATTTATTTATTTATTTGCACTAACTATGTTTAAGCTTGGCCCTTGAAGGTAAGGCTTTAAAGGAAAATGGCTCTGAGGGATGTTTAAAAGATTTGAAGCCTGGCAAATGTGGAGAATGATATGTCTTCTTTTTAAGAAACAGTGTTGTTGTTGCCTTAATGACTGTTACATGTGGTGCTATTGGAGTTTTCTTTGTCTCTAAATTGATAGATTTCTCCCCCCCTCCCCTTTGTTCTGGCTGATACATTTTGACTGTCTGAATCACTTCTGCTTAATTCTATATTGGGGTTCTCCAAAATCTGGTTTATCTACTTTTTCCCCACAGCTTCCTCCCTCTTGAGAAGGCTGCGTGGCTGGTATGAGTTAAGGAGAGATCCAGACCTGCCAAGGGCTCAAATGTAGATTGAAATGAATGGGTTTGATAAACATTTTAAGGATCTCACCCACTGCTTTGCCTTCTTGGCTGCCTTATTAAGAGCAAAACAAACACAAATCTAGACCCACGTAAGAGATAGGTTGCACAAAGAGGGCATCGGCTACTGTTTGTGTAAACAAGAAGGAATAGATCAGTGGTTCTCAACCTTTTTAATGCCGCGACCCCCAACCAGTCGTAAGGCGAGGACTAAACCAGTCGTAAGTCGAGGACTACCCAACCGGTCGTAAGTCGAGGACTTTCCCTGCCCGGGAGCGCCGCGCATGCGTGGTTCCGCCCCCTGCGCCGGCCGAGGCGTAGCTGGCAAGCGGCAGAGACGGAGCAGGCCGACCACCAGCTGGCCCAGCTCAAGGGAGGTAAGGCACCCGCCGGAAAAGGGGGGGAAAATGGCGGACAGCCTTGCTTGGCGACCCCCGTGAAATGGTCGATCGACCCCAAATGGGGTCGTGACCCATAGGTTGAGAACCACTGTAATAGATAATCTGGAATGAGATCCAGGTGCCTGACTCTTTTCTTTACCTGAGGGACTGAACAGGTTTGAATGTAGTTTCTGCAAAGTGTATCCCTGCAAATTTAAGAAAGGGGACGAGGAGAATGTCCCTCTGTAAAAAATTGTAAAAAGTTCCAGTTATTGCAACAAACATAAATTGGTTTCATAACTGAACCTTTAGTTCTTCTTTGAATGGCTTCCTTCCCTCTATTGTTTATTGTACAGCAGTGGAATATATTTGAATGGTTTTTAGGACCTCGTTGCTGCGCATCAGACATTCCTTTTGTTGTCAGGAGAAACACAACTTATTGTTGAACATTTCGAAGAACTAGATGTACGGTATATTAGCAGTAAAGAATTCCCTTGGGCTCAGTCTTAAAGATATGTGTTGGTTGACTTGATTAAGCAAGTGCTAGCTTGTTCTTTAGGCTTTGTGGCACCCCGGGGGTCTTGCTGTAAAAATAGTCAGATGAGTTGGAGGCCTCCCAACTTCTTTAAAAAACTCCTGCTTTTCTCTAGCAAACAACTGTGAGAAGAAGCTGTCCTTTTAATTCTATTTAGATCTTAAAGTGCTGCAAGAACAGTATCCTAGGTCAGTGGTGGCGAACCTATGGCACGGGTGCCAGAGGTGACACTCAGAGCCCTTTCTGTGGGCATGTGCACCATCGCCCCAGTCCTAGGCCTTCAGCTGGGTTTTATAAAACCTTTTCGCTTTAGGCCTCCGCCGCCGTGTGCAAAAAAAAAAAAAGGTTCAATCAGTCAATTTCAACTTCTTGCGGGGAAAAAAAGGTCTTGCAAAGTTGGAATTGATTGATTGAACTTTTTAGTCCCACCCACTCTGCCGTTACCACCACAGCCATGCCCACCCAATGGGCCAGACCCACCCGGCACTCAACGATGCATAAATGGGTTTTGGGTTGCAGTTTGGGCACTCGGCCTCTAAAAGGTTCGCCATCACTGTCCTAGGTTGTTCCTGATCTTTTCCAGTTCTTAGTGAACAGCTTTTTTTTCCAGGAGTGTTTATTGGGTGTTTATAATTCTGAATAAACACAAGCCCACTTGATTTGTGGAAGGCATTGCCTGGCATCCCACTCAGAGGCCACATGTCTTTAATGTGAAAGAGTTTATGTACCCCCGATCCAATTTTTAAATCAATGACATTCTAATTGTCACAATAATAATCTGCTAGTATAGAGAAATTTGTGAATTTACTAATAAATTATTAGCTCTCACTGCCTCTTTCTTTCCCATGCTAAGATGCAGCCTAAAGAATGCCAATTTTCCAAGATCTTCTGTATGTGCTACAATTCATCCCATACTTAGCATCTTCCTTCCTCACATCATTGAATTTGCAGGAGTGCAGCTGCCACAGGAGAAGTCACCAGATGAAGGCGAAGCCCTTGTCCGGAGACGTACCACCAGTGAGGGTCAATACGAGACCAGTCCCCAGGAACCCAGTTCACCACGAAGCCCGACCGTTCGATCACCCATTCACTGTGTCTCACCAGAAGTGGTCAGCACCATCGCTGCCAATCCTGGAGGAAGACCTAAGGAGGTACATTTTAAAAATATGATTTTCTTTTTAACCCCTTGCCTGGTGGTAAAAGATACAAGGTGTTAAAGGAAAATTTCATTTGGCAGTAAGGTGGAATAAACAAACGAGATAGGTATAGGAGACTCTGCTCAAATATTAGTTGGGTGGGAGATAGAAATCAAAAGTATTTGATTTTGAATTTAGATACAAACCTACCCAACTGTCTAGTATACTGAACTCCTCATTTTTACAAAGTATTATGAAGCAGTTTGCCACTCAAACAACAAAAAAAGTAAGAGTTATATTTTAGATATGCAACTGTGTGAGCCATAGTGGCGCAGTGGTTAGAATGCAGTATTGCAGGCTAACTCTGCATTCCCTCTGCGAGCAGTTCGATCCTGACCGGCTGAAGGTTGACTCAGCCTTCCATCCTCCCGAGGTCAGTAAAATGAGGACCCAGATTGTTGGGGGCAAAATGCTGACTCTGCAAATCGCTTAGAGAGGGCTGTGAAGCACTGTGAAGTGGAATATAAGTCTAAGTGCTATTGCTTGTGCTATTAGATTAAAAAAAAAAGAATACACGAAAGCATTAGCAAATCCTTGGAAAGGCAATAAAAATACCATACCCACAAAAATGCATACTTTAGAAGAAATTCAGATGACAAATTTTCACACATTTGCTTTGAAATCTGTAAAATGGAGAGGTTGCATATAATTGATTTGGCCATCCCTATGGAAGGCTCTTCCTTCAGCTTGGTGATTTATTGTACTGGTTTGGAGCAGTAAAATTTTCATGCGTATTCCTCCTCCCAGCAAAATAAAATATGGGATACCTGCTGCAACTTGCTTCCTCCCTCACTGTCTCTCCCCCCCCCTCCATCTTACTACCAAGTTGAAGAACATGTAGTAAGTGAAAGATCTTTGATGAAAAAGAGGTTAAACTATTCCATTCTGGAAACTAATTATATTTTCATTCTCTCTTTCACAGCCCCATCTTCATAGCTACAAAGAAGCTTTGGAGGAGATACAGGGGACCTCTCCAAGCAGCCCACCTTCCAGTGGTGGTGAGACTTCTCCCCCAACCCCTGCCTTCCCTGTCTCACCACAAACCCCTTACAGCAATCTGTGTAAGTTCTGTGGCTTAGGGAAGGGAGAGGGAGGCTGGCATTTGGTTTTGGTTAAAGCCATACTTAGAGGCAAACGGTTCTCAGCTTCGTGACACCCACCACCATTTTAATCACATTCTTATTTTCTCCCTTCTGTCCATCGGCCCATCTCAGCTATTTCCTCACCCCCTTTCATCTCTGCTTGCTTGGTGCACCGTTCTCATTCACCATGAAGTATGCATCCTTCCATCATAATTGTCGCAACGGCAAAGTTTTGCAAGTACTGCAAGTATAAATATAGCCAGCAGCTCTCAGATGGTGATAAAGACATATTTCTTTCTGATCTGTCCTCTGCTTGTTGTTGCCCATAGCAAATAAAGGTGCAAGATCATTTACCAGAAATATATAGTTACAATAGGGCAGTTCTACACTACTTGTCACTATGTAAATGACTCATCTGCTGGGGATCTGCTCTGTTTTGCTGCATCTTTACGTTAGGGTTAAAGTACAACACATGGTGGGTTTTACTTAATTTTGCATATCATTAATTAAGCAGGTCAGCTAGTAGTAGTAATGGAAGCAATACTGTATATTACATATTTTCTCATTCTTGGGGAGGGAGCAGGGAATCATTCTTTTAAACAAAAGGCAAATAATTTAATAATTTAAATGAATATCTTTTTGATAATTTAATGATGTGGATCAAAAACGTGCTCCTGCTAACTCTGGCAAATATGTAATTATCAGAATCAGGAAGATGATGGCATACAAGACTGACAGTCTTCCTATGTCCATCATCAATCCATAAAAGATACAAATTTCTCTAAGATATTTCTAACAAAAATGTAAATGATTAACCTGTTTAAAAATACATTTGCTGGTTTACTTCCTTACTAGGGAAATATTATTCGTCACTGAAACCTAGCACACAAATTCTACAGGGAAATGTATTAACCTTGCTCTGATCCTTGTCATTATGAGAGAAGAATTCCATGTCCTGTGACACATCAGGCATGATCACGAACTAAAAGATTAATTTTTTATCCCTCATTGACATTTAAAATCCACAATTCTTATGTATAGGCTACAGAAATTCATTTGATTAACATAAGAGAAGGACGAGGGGGGACATGATAGCAGTGTTCCAGTATCTCAGGGGCTGCCACAAAGAAGAGGGAGTCAAGCTATTGTCCAAAGCGCCTGAAGGCAGGACAAGAAGCAACGGGTGGAAACTAATCAAGGAGAGAAGCAATCTAGAACTAAGGAGAAATTTTCTGACAGTGAGAACAATTAACCAGTAGAACAACCTGCCTCCAAAAGCTGGTAATGCTCCAACACTGGAAGTTTTTAAGAAGAGACTGGACAGCCATTTGTCCAAAATGGTATAGGGTTTCCTGCCTAAGCAGGGGGTTGGACCAGATGACCTCCAAGGTCCCTTCCAACTTTTTTTTTTATTATTATTATTATTATTATTATTATTATTATTATTATTATTATTATTATTATTATTATTATTATTATTATTAATCTGATATTTGAGGGATATTCCTTTTAGTGTATAGATTCTAGAAAATCACATGCTAACAGAAAATCAACTATTGCATATATTACTTTCACTATCAATAACAGTCTTTCTAGGTAGAAAGATAATATCCCAACTGCATTTATTCGAGAATAAAGGGGAACCGTTCTTAATTAGCTTAACCCCTGAGTCTGGCGGTGGAATATCCCAGAGGAAAAATCCGTGGTTTTGGGCAAGTAGATCCTATTTTTGGTAATAGTTGTAATTCTTCCTCTGAGCCTCTTATTATGTTGGGAATATGGAGGGGGGGGGGAAAGAGGAGGGGAGGTCAGCTGACCTCTGCAGCTGGGAGAAAATGAAAATGTCTCCATATCCTAAATGTACATTTCAAATACTGTAGATTTCTCAGTAACATATACCTCTGTTAGGGAATGCATATTCACAGAAAACAATAGAATGAGTTGCATTAGCTTTTTGTATCATAGATCCATAGGGCTGGAGGTTTTCTAGTCTGACCCCCTCCCCCCACCCACCCAAGGTAGGAGTCCTCATATCGTGTTGAATAAATGGTTGCCCAATCTTTTCTTGAAATCATCTAGCAGTGAAATACCCACAACTCCAGGAAGCAAGTTGCTCCATTGATTAATAATTCTTAATGTCAGGAAATCCTCCTTATTTCCAGCTTGGATCTTAGACAAGCTTCCACCCATTTCTTCTTGTCCTACCTTCAGATGCTGTGGAGAATAAATCAATACCCTCTTCCCTTTGGCAGCCCTTCAGACTAAATGAAGAGAATTAAATGATCCCTTCTAAATACACAGTATTTAGGCCCTACTTTGCCAGTTCATACAGTATTTAATATACAGAATGACATTTACCATAAAATTAACAATATTAAGTGGGAAGGCATGACGTTTCAACTATAAATAAGAAAATAAAGCGTATATTCAAAATTCCACATTTTAATTCCACAGCTATGCCTCAGTGTGTCCTATACAATGGGCTTATAGAATAAAACATTTTGAATATATCAATCAGCAATGGCTTGTGACTCACCTTGATGGAGATGGCTTTTGAGCAGCTATTACACTGAGCATCTCCTAATCCTCCAAAACGCAAATGAAAGGCTTCCGTCATGAAGGGGAGTGGGGGAACCCATCAATGTGAGGTACTCCACCCCAGTGCCAGCAGCCATTTCTAGGAAGAGTGTTGATTCCATAATATCGATAGCTCTCCCCAAACTGAGGAGATAAATGCACTGTTTGGATCATGTTGTGCCATTCAAGATTAGATTTAGATTTATTAAATTTATACCCCGCCCTGAAGATATATGTAAGCACGTAGCAGTTGAAACTGCATGCAAAATTTCCTGTAATTAAATAGTTATTTCCCCTGTTGAAATTCTATTAGGTTGCCATAGAGACACTTCCCCCACATGTGAGGCTCTTGTTAGGTTAGCCTCAACTGTCCCAAAGGTGCTTTTTCAAGAGGCAACTGGACTTTTTGTTTTTCCTTGAAAAACATTTCGCTTCTCCAGTTCTGACTGTCAGAACCAGTCAGAGCTGAAGAAGCTTCTTGGATAAGAAGCGAAACATCTTCAAGGCAAAACAAAGAAAGTTCAGTTGTCCCTTGAAAAAGCATCCTTGGGACAACCATGACCTGGATGACTGAAAATCTCCACAAACAGTTAAACCTCAGCTGTAAGACTTGCCATTCCTCCAATGGTGCGCTGGAGCCATCTCACACTGACTCGCAAGAGCCAACTGTTTAAATTTTCTGGAATTTTGTGAGTTGTTTAGGAGCAGAGGTGACCCTCCGTGCCTAGTGCACCAGCCAGGTTTCCATGATTGAGAGAGCTCCAGATGGACAAACTGGTCCATAGCAAGTCCTTGCCTCCCTATGAACTCTAGTGTAGTAATTGCATTTGCAACCAGATCAGCTCAATCACTTGAATAAGCGCATTCTTTTAATCCATGCACATCTGGTAAGGATTCTGTAGCTGTTTCTGCTTTAAGTGAAAGCATAACAGCCCAGATCAGAATTAGATCTCCTTTAGCTGCTGAAGATGTTGGTGAGGACCTGATCTGAACCTTCCTGTTGCATGCCCTCTTTTTTCTCCCTCTTCTGAACAAGCATGGTTCTGAGTGACTAATCTTTGGTAACTTGGTGGTGGGTTTTTAAAATTCATCAGCTCTGAACAGTTCTGCCAAGTATTTCATCAGGGCAGAGCTAACATGGCTAAGCATGAACAAACATCAATGAGCCACTAAGCAACTGGGAAAGAGCAAAGACCCCAGAGGGGTAGAACAACCTTTTCCTTTAAATAACTGGATTCTTTCTGAACAGCCTCTGAGTACTCTCACATGTCAAAGTGCTGGATATTAGCATTTACTGTACGTGAATAATTTCCCAGATTTAATGGGGGATTTTTCTTTCCTGGCATCCTGACATATAAGGGCATTCTCTTCAATGGCTCCTTTTCATGGTTGACCAGGACAATGAGTAATTCTTACAAGTTCCTACATTCTGATGTTGTGCCAGTCCCCCAAACTAACAGAGATTAATATAAGATTGCCTGGACTGTGCAATATGCCTGGCTTGCAGCCCATTGCTAGAGCAGAAGTGCCTGGAGGGTCTCCAGACATTCTCAGGGACGTTTCTCTGCTATCATTGGTAGAGCACAAATGCGGTCAGGTCAATCTAGTTTTTACTGAACCCATTCATTGCTTTCTGTGGCCCATATCCCATGGAGTTTTACTTAATGTCTATTAATTCACTAAGACCTAATTTCAAATAAGTGTGTGCAAGACTGTAACTTTTATAACTCTATCCCTTCCTTGATATGCTTAGGGACAACATGCATTCTGAATCAAGTTATTTAGCTCCCCATTCCTAACCTTGGGCTCCCTAGACATGATAGATTAAAATTCCCCAAATTCACACTCATCATGGCCAGGAATTGAAAATTAGAGGCTATAATTATAGAGGATTTATTGTGGATGACTATGTAAGAGATATGCCATCTTCAATTATTCTTAGAATAACAGGCCAGAGCTCTCTAGAATTCAATATGAGTATTTATGGCTCCTCTGTGAACTATTTGATGAAGACTTGTCTTCTTCACCGGCAAGCTAAAGTGCATGAGAGTTATGGGGTTTGAGAACAGAAATGCAATGGTATTTGCACTGTTTGAGAATCCCAATTGATCTAATATCCTGGACATGAATTTGCTTGTTTCCCCTTTGCTCATTGGCCTTAAGCAGTGAATGCTAGCCAGCTAAGCTAATCCATGATGAAATGCAAGCTCTTGGTAACTGGCTTTCCTTTAATATGCCTGCCTACCTTCCTTTCTCCTCCTGCTGTGGGCCCCTGCGTGGGTACCCATCCAAAGCCGTAAGTCAGATGATTGCAGTGCAAGTCATGAAAAATGTGTTAA